TATATATATGTATGTACACATACCATACACACACACACAAATTATAGAGGACCCTTAGGTTGTCTGAGCCCAGCTACCTTCATTTTTAGTACTGTGTTGTCGGGCTGTTTCCAGGCCTCAGGTGTTGTCCTTTGTGCTGTGTGAGGATGTCATTGCTGCCTGTACTTAATGATCCTTTTACCGTGGGTTCTGAACATTCACCTCACCATGTTTACAGAAAACTATTTTGTACATAGAGTTTTCCAGGCACATGCTTTGCACCAACCCTGTGTGGCTCTTGTCTGTATTAGCTGTCACAGTATGCACACTAATCTCTGTTAATAGTTCTTTGTGGCTGTTTTACTTGTAAGATAGTTTTCTATTTCCTTCAGTAATGTGTCCAGAGTACCCTGTATTTCGAGTTCTATTATGCTGAAGTACTTTTGTTTAGTGCCTCCCCAAAGACCTCACCCTGGACAGAAGTCAGTCCTCCATGCCCCAGTGTAAGTGACATCACTAATTGTCACTTTCCAGTTTGTTCTTCTCTATTTAAGAAGAGAGTTTGTAATTGCATCTCCATGGGCTGTGAGACTGTGTGAAGCTGTTTGTGTAGTCTTTGTGTAGGTGCTGTGTTCCCAGCACCACCTTGCTCTGAACACTGGTAATTCCAGGTGCTGCGCTCGGCAGAGGGGTCTCGCCAAAGCGCATGTGTGTGTGTGCGCGCGCGTGCTTGAGTGTGTGTGTCCTGGGCATGGCCGGGCGTGGCTGCCTTGCTCGGGCATCAGCAGGACATTTTGTGAATAGTTACAATGCTTCCAAACTGGAACTCTACATTTTGTATCTTACTTTTAAAGCTCCTATAAGTAAAATAACTATTGGCTTTATTAAAAAATATACATTTAATACTCTGTATCTTTATTTAAAATGAACCACAGCAGACCCCAGTTAGAGGGCTCCCTGACTCATCACTGAAAAGCTGCGCACGAGTTGCTTTTTAGGTCGGTCTGTTCTCTGACTGGGAGACCTGTCAAGGGAAAGATGGGTTAGAGTATTTGGAGGCCCTGGAGTGCATGGGCAGCCAACTACAGCCCCACCCCACCCCACCGGCTTCCCTAAGACCATAGCTGCTTTCGCCTCTGTGCAGGTGGCGCTCACACAGAGGTGAAGGAGGCAGGCACTCTATCTTGAGTTGGGATCTGCTAACACCCGTGTCCCAAGTGCAGGTGCTGTGACCTGCCTGCCAGCCTTTCCAGGGAGCAGACCCAGGGAAGAGGATTTGTTCTACCCTCTGCCACCAGGGACCTCAGTCTGTGCTGAGCGACCTTCCCACACAGGGACAAAAAGAACCTGTCTCCCTGGATGATGCCACAAAAAAGACAGACTGTATCCTGAAAACCACGAATGGATGGTAAACTACAAGGGAATTTCAACTCAGTTTTACCTACAAATAGACAGCACATCACTGAAGGTTTTTTCTTGAACTTAGGAAAATGGAGTAATGTGAGCATTCATATAACCCACAAGCCATTCAGGCTTACTATACTGAGATGCCCTGAAGTTGAGCACAGGAACCAGTCCCAGGGCCTTCCAAGTGTACCTTAGAACAAGGATGCTGAGGTAACAGCCATGTTGCATTGTAGTCCCATTGGAAAATCATATTAAAATGCTAGCAGGGGGCTGGGAGGTGTAGCTCAGTGGTAGAGCACATGCTTAGCATGCCCAAGGTCCTGCATCCAATCCCCAGCACCCATAAATTAATAAATGGCTAGCAGAAGAAACTCCCACTATTCTTGTGTTCCTGCTTAACAAAAATGACCAGAGCTGTTCACTGGCTTCAGTTCACAGCAGCAGTGGAGATAAGACAAAAGTCCTGCAGCTCTGCTATGTGCTGGATGGATGGGTGGAAGTGGAATGTTTTTGGGGTTTTGTGTTTGATTCTGTGAAACAAATACAAATGTTACACTTGGGCTCTTAGAGGGCTCTTGGAGGCCTTGCCCATTTGAGAAATGAAGAGCACAAATCAGCTGAGGTACTCAGTTTTGTAAGCCTCCTTTCCTACTTCAGGTGCTCCTGCCACATAGCAGCTCTAGGCTGTGAGAGGTGCCCCCCTGGGTGCTGTGTGGCCAGTGCCTCCCAATCTGTAAAAAAAATAGAAATAAACACCTTCCATCTGGGCTTGGTTAACACACTCCTGTAACAACCTGAGGCAAGAGGACTACAAGTTTGAGCCCAGCTTGTGAAATGTGGCAACTTAGATCCTGTCTCAAAAAGGGGGTGGATTGGAGGCGGGTAGGTCAATGTGAAGGCCCTGGAAATCCCCAGTACTGCAAAAAAAATAAAAAAAAAAAAAAAAAAAAAAAAAAAAAAAAAAGCATGGTTACATACTTGTAATCACTTGGGAGGCAGAGGCAGGGGGTGATACCCTGACTCAAAAGAAAAAACGAGGGCCAGGGATTTAGCTCAGTGGTTCTGCCACCTGCCTCGCAAGCACAAGGTCCAGAGTTCTATCCCAGGTAGCAAAAGAAAAAAGAGGGGCTAGAGGTTTAGCTCAGTGGTCTGGAGTTCGATGCAAGCTGGGAATGGTGATGGATACCTGTAATACCAGCACTTGGGAGGCCAAGGCAGGAGAATCATCACAACTTTAAGAGGCCAGCCTGGACTAGATAAAGACACCTTGTCTCAGAAAAAAAAATCCACTACTCTGAAGTGTGGTGGTGCACACCTATAATCCCAGCACTCAGGAGGTTAAGGAAAGGTTTCCATGAGTTTGAGACCAGCTTGGGCTACATATTGAATTCAATGCCAGTGTTAACTACATATCAAGACACTGTCTCAAATAAAATTATCAGTAATCTGGGGCCATCTTTTAACCTGTTTTTCATCCATCACAGCACTGAGCATTGTGCTGGAATCTTGTGTGTTGGCATTTGCGTCCCCTCCCCCCCCACAGGAACTCAGAATCTTGCACTTGCCAGGCAGGCGTGGTGCCACTGAGCTAAATCCCCAGGCCTAAGGAGAGACTTGTCCAAGGCCATGGGTCCAGGGAGAAGCACAGTCCCCAGTACCACAGCCAAGAAACCTGAGACAGATGAAAGGAGGTGCTGCTAGGGCCAGAGTTTGCTAATTCTAACACACAGCATCAATCAATCAAACGACACCCCCCCCCAGGGTCTCGCTTTGTATCGTAGGTTGACAGAGCTGGCCTCAAACTTGCAGTGCTCTTCCTGTCTTCGCCTCTAGAGTGCTGTGCACCACAAGGGCTGGCCTAGATTTTGTTTGTTTTTGTTTTTGGTACCAGGGATTGAACTTGGGTCCTTGAGCTTGCAAGGCAGGCCACCGAACCGCTGAGCTAAATCCCCGGCCATTATTTTCTTTGTTTTTTGAGACAGGGTCTTAGTTGAGACTGACCTGGAACTCACTATGTAGCTCAGGCTGGTCTCGAACTCACAGCGATCCTCCTGCCTCAGCCTCCCGAGTGCTGGGATTACAGGCGTGCGCCACCACGCCTGGCTTGGCCTAGATTTTTTTTTAAAGGCCCGCACGTTGGACTAAAAGCGAACACCGGGCGCGGTGGCGAGAATCACAAGTACAAGCACAGCCTGTACAACTTAACGCAACCCTGCCTCAAAAAGAGCTGGGGCTGTAGCT